TTATCGCCTCGGCAGCACTTTTCCAAGTTTCATCAACAGTAGTGACTGCCGGCAACTGAATGTTGGATATCACGACCGCCTCCTTCTCTTTCAAACGCCACCACTTGATTCTCGCTGGTCCACACCGCTCGATTTGTTTCAATTTCGGAGGAGCGATCTTCAGCGTGCAAATCAGTGGTCGATGTTGCGTGGTGACGTCTCATACGGCACCGCCTTTGCGTCTGTTACGAGCCCTCGATCGCGTTGCCTGACGAGGACGAAAGTCGATTTGCGTTCTGGTAGTACCGCTGTAGAAGGTGATGAGGTGGGAGTCACGTTTTCGGAAATTCGTGTTCACGATGGTGAGATTGTGCGAATTTGCATACTCAAGAATTCGTTCGCCATCGGTGTTACGTGACCCATATCCAAATCCACCATGACAGTTGTAACCGTCTTTCGTAGCGCCGACGTGACCATTAAGGTCACCTGCGACAATGACAGCCTCTTCTGACGGTACCTCTGCGGTCTTTTCATCCAGCAGGGTCCAGAACTCGTCCTTTGGCTCGGAGCAGCCAGTCTGCGGAGCGTATGCAGAGAAGAAGTGGTATTCGCTTACGTTCGATGACGACAACAATCTTCATTAAGACGGTCGTCGAAGCGATCCAACGCTTACTATCGAAGTCACGGAAGCGTTCAGAGACAACACCCGACCCCTGGTGGTTCTGGGACCGCCACAGAGAACGGCTTTGAAGCCGCGGCCAATGTCCCTCGACTTGCAGCAGGACCACCTCGTTTCCTGCACGGCACAGAAATCAATTCGTCGGCGCTCTAGAGCTTCTGCTAACTCGTACGAGCGGCCCGTTCAACGTGCCAACATTTAACGTCGCAACGCGAGTCTTCCAGGACTTTTGGACTAGCCTAGTTGCCCCCCGATGCCGTCCTTGCACCGGAGACCCTCGCATACTTTTCACACTCGCCGGGCTTTGCGAGTGCGCGTCGGCTCCCGCGGACGCCGTAGCATTATCTCGGACATCACATGTGACGTGGGTGTTCGTAGGCCGGCCTGTCACGGGGGCCTGTCGCCTGCATTCGAATGTCCGTGATCAGCTCAGCTCACAAAAGTGAGCAGTTTCCCAGTGGCACCACTTGGAGGAGCGGTTATCGATCGATATCGATTGAAAATATTGGTTTTTGTGCAGAGTACTCGAATAATTGATTGGGGGCTGCAGTAGTGTGGAAATCTCATTGGGTCACATGCTATCGATCGATATCGATTGAAAATATCGGTTTTTGTCTGGGAGGCTCAGATTTGCTTACTAATCACACTATAGATTGATGGGGTCGCAACAATTAAAATTCTCTATTAAGTCACGTGGTATCAATCAGTATCGATCAAAAATATCGGCTTTTATCAAGTAGGCTTGGAAAGACCTCTAGGAACCGAATTATGAGGTTTTGTGGCAAGCTCCGCCCACTGTGGTACATTTCTCACCCCCCCCCTCCGTTGACCCTTAATCTTCCCTCCTTATCTAACCTCTGTCCACTTTTTTCTCGGTTCTGGGACTTCTCTGAACCGACTTATGACAGGTTTGCAATAAACGCTGCCCACTTAAGGACACGCTTCAACATACCTGAAATTCAGTAGGTGGCTTCCACTGAATTTCAGGTATGTTGAAGACACCTTAGATATTGTTCTCCTAAACCGATTTTACTACGGCTCAATAGGCTTTCTCATACCAGAGTTATGAGTTCTTCTTATCGAGAAACACTTCAGAGAACGCTCCACCCACAACGGGCGGGCCTCCCAGATTCGACTTTTCAACCCAGTGCACACCTTTACTCATTTTTTTCGGTGTTTTGGCTGCACCTATACCCAAACTTGAGACTTCTGCCGTCGGCTGCTCCTAACTCGACGCATGCCCCGCCCACTGTGGGCGGAGTTTCCCATGGTCCATGTCTGCCCCTGTAGCCTGACTCATTCTCTACCCATCCCGAACTTGACCTGGACTCTGATGGTGGTTCCTTAGATAGTACTTAATTTTTTTCAAGTAGACACACAAAGGCTTAGCCCTCTATATCCCCTCTATCCTCTTATATATAAAGCAGCAGTTTGGTGTGTTTGTCTGTCTGTTACCACTAGGGGATATATATCCCGGTTGAAACGGGAAATTCTCTACTTCCCCCATTCAGTCCTTCACCCCAAAATATATAGGAACAACTCCGTTTCCTTACCACCTCCTCAAATTCGAGCCTCTTCTCGAACTTTCAACCTTCACCAACTCCAAATACGGCTCCTCCCGAACAACTCAAATACCACTCCCCTAATTGAGAGCTGCGAAACGCACGTAACCCTGCCACGAGATCCATCCTCTCCAGCCGCGTCTCACGCGCGGTATCGTGCACAGCTAAACTGGTACTCCAAAATGCGCGAAAGTTTGTCTTCTCCGCGACGAGGCCCGATCGCATGTCGAAGCCCGCCACAACCTTATTGAACACGAATGAGAGAAGCTTCCCTGCTTAGCGTGTCTGCAACCCATCCTCTACTATTATCTGAGTTGTGCGCTTGAACATTATCATCATGAGGAAAAACTCTATGATTACTCAGAACGTCACCATCACCTCCCGCTCAAATACCTAACAAATGGCTCAGGAAAACGCCGAGAGGTATCTTGGCCGGCTATGATCCTTCCGCCCCCACTCCATCAAGTACTCAATGAGCGCCTCACGAGGAATGCTCAATTGGTCAGTCCGGCCATTTGTAATGAGGTGTAGTCCGCTGTACTCGTCTTGCGACGCTGAGCTCAAATCCGTTTTCGGTATCTGCGGAACGATTCTCTGAAAGAAGTTACGAGGGATTCTTCTCGCTGTGGCTTTGTCACTGTGGCCCCTACATTCTTTCATCCCGCTCGCTTAAAGCAACAGTCCAGGCAGGGTTTCAACCATTTCGTTTTCAAGTGGTGGAAACATGCCTCAGC